TTGTTTCCATTTGCATAGACTATCAGCCCCTTACTTTCAGTCCGTGTATCTTTAGCTCTCAAGTGAGTGTCTTATAAACAGCATATAGATGGGTTATTTTTTATCCAATCAGCCGCGCTGTGTCCTTTGATTGGAGCATTTAGTCCATTGACATTTAAAGTGATTATTGGTAGGTATGTGCTTATTGCCATCTTGTTACTTTTTTCTGGTTGTTTCTCTGTTTTGTCTTCTTGTTTTAGTCTATCCCCTTGTGGTTTGATGATTTTCTTTAGTTGTATGCTTGTGTTCATGTCTTTTTAGTTTTAGTCTCTTTTTAGTTTAGTGATGTGCTTTAGCTCATCTCTTTTCTTTTTAGTTTTTGTATGCCTATTGCAGGTTTTTGATTTGTGGTTATCATGAAGTTCATATATTTCGACCTTTAACTATATCTACTTGTTTTAAACTGATAGTCATTTAAGTTCAAGGACATTCTAAAAGAGCCACATTTTTTACTATCCCCTCCACCTTTTGTTTTTGATATCATATTTTATATCTTCATATCAATCCCTTAACTATTTATTGTAGTTTTAGTTGCTTCTACAATTTTTGTCTTTTAACCTTTGTAGTAGCTTATTTAGGTAGTTGAACCCCTGTCTTTACTATATATCTGCCTTTACCAGTGGCATTTTCCCCTTCCTATAATTTATTTCTTTGTTACAGCCTTTTCTTTTTCACTTAAAGGACGCCCTTTAATGTTTCTTGTAAGTTTGGTTTAGTGTTGATTAACTCTGTTAGTTTTTGCTTGTCTGAGATGCTCTTTCTCTCTCCTTCAATTCTGAATGATGACTTGCTGTATAGAGTATCCTAGATTGTAGGGGTTTTTTTCCTTTCAACACTTTAAGTATATCATGTCACTCCCTTCTGGCCTGCAAAGTCTGCTGTAAAACCAGCTGACAGCCTTATGGGTGTTCCCTTGTATGTGACTCTTTATTTTTCTCTTGCTGAAGTTCTCTCTTTACCTTTAACTAAAAGTTGTAACAATATTTTTTTTAAAACCAGCTGCATATGGACTTAAAACTTTCTGGGTGCATTTAGCCTGAGTGATATTCCCTTTACTTTCCTGATGGTGCATGTTCATAAAACCCAAAGGTGCTAACACTCTAAACTGATCTTATCTTTTTAATTAATTTAAAAAGTTTTTCTTATGCAGTGTTAAGCAGAGAAAAACAAAGTAAGAATCAGGAAATAAGGTGAAAATTTTTATTATATGCTTTAGTTTTGACATATTAGAATTTTAATGTTATTATTCTTATAATTATGTATCAGTAATTTCCATGAGACTAAATAAGTAAAGGAATTCTGAGGAGTTAAATGATAGGAGGGGTGAAGAATCACTGACCATAATATGATGGGGCACAAAAAAATGCTCAGAGAAAGAAACACCATACCTGAGCTACTAATATAATTAGAAGTGTGGTAGGATCTTGCTTATTTGCATCTCTCCATCAGGACTGAGAGTCACAGCAATATTTGAAAGTCCCATTAATAATGGTTCATTGCATGACCTGTGTGCCTCTTCCAAATATTTGCTCTTTGGGCCCCTTTCATTGTTACTGGAGACTCTGGTGTTATTCTTGGCCAAGGATGGGGTGAATGGTTGTGAGGAGGGCTTTGCATGAAGTGGGAATCACCCTGGAGGAGCTGGGTAGGGAGACAGGGTGAAATTATAGGACCTCAGTATTAACCTGTCTTCTACACCATTAACAATTTTTATACTAACCTCTACCATTTAAGAAACAAATCCTTATTTTAAGCTGGCATTATTACTGGTAAATTATAAAACTACATTACTACTCAAGTTTTTCATACTGGCAACCGGAGAAAAAGCAGTGGAAAAGGTAATTTATTTAATACTATAATATTATTTGCCAATGGCCATATATAAAATGTAATAATGCTTAAACTGTTTAAAATTTTATCATGTTATGTAATTTAAGTAAGCCAGATTATCTGCTTTATTTCTTCTATAAGTAAGACTGTAACTAGAAAGTTAGAGCAGAAACTACAGCAAGAACTTCACTGCTCTATTTATTCTAGTTTTCCCTTGAGACACTGTGGCAAAGTGGTTAAGAATATAGATTTTAATAAAAGATTGAACTGGATTGAGCCCTACCTCTGCCACTTATTAACTTCTTAGCTGTCTGTCCTCAGTCAACATTCTTAGTTTCTTCTCCCCTCAGTTTTTCTGTTTATAAAAGAGAGATAACTATGACTACCGTACCAAGTTGTTGTAAAGATAAATTTCATACTGTATACACTGTACTGTATGCAGTATACTGATACTGTATGTACATATGTGGTTTCAGTTAATAAAAACTGAAAACAGGGTAGATGTTATAATTCTGGAATTCACATTGACCGTCATGAAATAGCTAGGTGAATAAGCAGTAGAACTCTGGATCATGTAATTTAGACATGTAAAAGGTCTTTTATCATTTCCTTTTATAAATGAAAGGACCAGAGTCTTGGCCCAAGAAGCTCAGGTACTATTCAACATTACTGGTATTGGCTGCTAGACATAAAGCCAAGAAGCAAAGTGTTTGATTGCTTGTCTAAATAATACCTTTTTAAATTCCTCTATAATGGCTGAATAGGAGAGAATGGAGGTCATTTTAAAATAAGCAGGTACATATGCTTATTAGGCTCAGGGTAGCTTTGGATGTAGGAGGTTTCAGAGCAGTCGTACACCTTGTGTATATAAACACATAGTCAAGGGATCAATCAAAATGCTTCAACTTCTTTTGTTTTAGGGCAGTGTCCCTGGAAATGAAGGGAATGAACTTCTTAGGAAGAAGATCTCTTAAAACACAGACATGGGATAAATGAGATAAAAATATTCTTCTGAGCTATTAATAAACACACTACTCCTTGGTTTATTCAATACATATCAGTGACATGTGGAAGGTTCATTGTTTTAAGTAGGTAAAACAATTTTCAAGAAAGCAAATAAAGTTCATGATAGTTTGTCCAAATTCCTGATATCATAAGAGCCCAAACACTGTGTAAAATTCCATCAGAATTATAATTTGTTTCCATAAGGTTATATGGCATGGCATATGTCTAAAAGTATGAGAACATTTCTTTGCCTTAAGGAATCCGTCCTCTATGAGCAACAGCACCCTCTAAAATACAATTATGGAGCGATGACTTCAATGACTTGGCAAAACTTCAAAATGATAATGCAATGCAATTTGAGAATAATGTGATTATTATTTTCCCTTTAAAAAAAAAAAAGCTTCTACTTGTCTCACAATAGAATAGTTCCTCTTGTCTTCTCCTCCACTCCCAGTAAATGAATTAGAACTCTGTCTCAGATTAAAAGAGGTTGAATGGAAGGAAAGATAATAAATGACTTAATTAAAGTGGATGGGTCTACCAAAGTGAAATGTGGCTGAGTAGAAGAGAATTAGCAAAAAGAAAGACACTAAGGGAATAACTCCAAATGCTAAAATTTAAAATTCAAATTCTAGTTATTTTAAAAAATCTTTAAATGTTGAGGCTGCTTTCAAGAATCTAAACCAACCAAGGGTTGAACTTGTTTTATGTGGTAATAACAGTTGCTCCTCTAGACTTTCAAAAAGTCTGGTAGAATGTTTCAGATTAACAAAATTTAAACTATTTAAATTTCACTCATGGGAACCACACACATTTCAGCATAATTTATATGTTTCTAATATTGCATTTCCCAAACTGTGCATGAGGTGCCTTAGAGCACTGCAGTACACTCACCAGGGTACCTCAAAATATCTTGAATTTTTAAGGGAAGCACAGTAATATGTGGCATCTGTCAGGTACCCATGAACTACTAGCTGGAGGTGGTTCACAGCTTTACCATTACATTCGGCTCTGTTCTTTTAGATGATGCCATATCTTTGCAAAACTGGGCAACATGAAAATCAGTGCGGAACAGGAAGTGAGGATGGTTATATCTAGTCTGATTCCAAGGCTTGGGAAGTTCCCATTGTAACTTATTTACTAAGAATGACAAACTATACATATATATATATATATATATATATATATATACACACACACATATATTTTTTGATGTTCATGTGTGTTATTTTTTTAACTGGCTACTAAGTTTTTAGGACACAAATAGTTATGTTATTTGGACCTAACTACTTAATAAACAGAACTGTCAGGCTCTTTGGTTGTTTTGCCTACGTGTACGAGGGAAAAGATTACTGAGACACTAGGTACCGCAATATAAGAAAGTTTGGAAGCTTTTGTTCTAACATTTGCATGCCTGTATAAGTAGGTGTCACGTCACAAGTAAATGATGCTTTATGCAGTTATTTTCTACATGAATGATAGCTAATGCTGGGAAAGATGTTCTAAGAGATTGTATTTAAATATATGATTCAGAGCCGAAACTAACCCTCAGGAAGCAATCCAGATATGCACTGTTTAAACAAAAGAGCCCTTAAATATACATAAACTTCAGAAGGAAGGAGTGAGGTATAAAATTGAAAGCCGGTTTTGTTTTACTCCTTTTTTCCCCTGGTCTCTACTTTGATTCTGTCTATTTTACTGCGAGGATTCCTCAAGCCAAATACGTTCTTCTTAATCTCTAATATGTTTTTCAATACTAACCCTGTAGAAGTAGTTATAAGTAAACTAGTAAGGCAAAGGTATATGTATATGCTCTTTTCCTTTTAAGGTCCTTCAGTTGAGTAAAAAGTAAGCTCTTCTATCACTCTTATTTTCATAAATTATACACTGCTTTGTAGGATATTAGAGAGTCAGCTACTAGATATTATCAAAGTATTTCAGCCTTATATTTTATTGAGCAGAATTTATAGACTGCATTGTTCTGTAACTTGTCTTTCATGACTTATCCTGACTCTGCATCATGATCCTTTAGGTAATTTCTCGGTACAAGGACAGCTGAATTGCCAATTTAAACTTACACTATAACCAGAAAAGTCATAACTACTAATAGGCTATTGCTGTATTACCATGCTCGTTGATCTGACGTAGACGTTGTTTTTCAGATGGCAGTTTCCGTCATTTGGCACCACTATGCCTGCCAATTTGCTATCTAGAGCAAGATGAGATGTCTGATCTGTCATCACCAGCAGCAACCTTTTAGCTTCTTTTCGCCATCCAATGTGACTCTTAAAATAAACATGTAATTAGATCTTGTACAATAACATAGATCTTTACTATGGTCTTCATTTCAAGTAAACATTAAATTTAAAACATTAAGTCAGGCTAGAATGATGTGCATAAATTCAGTGCTGTTTCATAAATAGCATTAACTTTTATTTGTATATCCTCTTCCACAGCCGTTTGACCACACTATCTCCTGGCTAGAGACTTCTGGTGTTCCACAGAGGAAGAGCAAGCCAGGTTTATGAAGTGCAGACTGCCCACTGTGATGTGAGTAGGACAACAAGCTATTTCTGTTTTTTTCCTTGGAGAGCAGTGAGTGAAAAGAGCAGCCCTTTTGGAAATGATTTTCCAAGTACATAAGTTATTCTTTCCCTTTTATCTTTTCCTATTTATAACCCTCTCCTAATTTAGCCCCTCTGTCCTGAACACATACCAAAATGAATAATACTGGTGACGACACAGATAGGAGAAGAATGTATTCTTCTATGCTATGTTTTCACTCCATAAATCAAAGGGAAAAATCCTAAATTCTTGGAGAATTTTTCATCTGAGCAAATATTCAATAATGTGAAACTTCTTACCTCACAGACAGCTGCCTGAAGCATAGCATCAAAACCTCCTTCAGGTGTATCTATATTTCCAGAGATCTTCTGTCTGTGAACTGCTTTTTCAAACTCAGTGATGTTTTCCGTCAAAGACAGCACATGGATATACCCATGGGGAGGCATACAGTCTAAGTTGTAGTCACTATATGGGTAAAGAAGAAATGCAAATTCTGTTTTGCTATGCGTCCTTCAAAGATCCAAAATACTACTCATGGTCATAGTAAAAGTGTGTGGTTGATGTGAGAAGGGAATACCTTTTTTATTTTTGCCAAGAAAATTTTATTAGAGAAAATCTGTATTTTATAAAATCAGAGAAAAGCTCAATATTGGTGAATATTTCTTTGCATGTAGCAGTATAATGCCTTGGTCGTCAAAACATAAAGAAGATTAAACATGTTTAATATAGGACACCTAAGGGCTTTTATTATGCTAATATGCACTGTTAATTTTTAAGAGGAGATGAAAATTTACAGTGATTTCCTATCACATTTGCCCATGGAACAGCTGAAAAACACTTTTTGGGAAATGTTTTTAGGAATTTAGTTAAAATATTATACTACTGTTAGATATTTTAAAATATTTTGCTAATTTTAAAGTGATGCTTGGTGTAGAATTATTGATGAATGGTCAAAATTCATTAAAATTGTTTTGAGAATTCCATAATGTCCCCAAAGGTGAGGATCATTCCTCAGGTGCATTTGTGTTCAGGGAGAAGGTGTGTGAAGCTCCATGTGGAGAGGCATCAGTCTTGTTCCTCTACAACAGAAAGCAGAGTTGTTTTGGTAAATTAGAGTATATACTGTAAAGTGATGTGGGCAATTCATGAAAGTAGGAAAGAAGACGATAAAATGAAATGTTTTGTTAAGGAAGAACTGAACACATTTATAGTTCTCTCTGAAAATTCAACAGGCTAAGTATCGTGTGAGAAATTCATATTTTAAAGGTCTGTTTTCCTTTCATAGTAGGGAATATGCTGTTCCAAAATGATAAGAAAAAGGGCTCTTCCTAGCAAACAAATTCTCCCTTTTGACCTACCTATCCTCCATGTGCTAGCTGAGTTTTGTTTGAAATCACATCATAAGCAATGTAATTATAAACAGTCACAATACAGTAATGGAAATACAGATGCAATACTGGCAAAATAAGTACTTTAAATTTGATAAACCTTAATTCAGCAAATTTGGATCAATCAAAAAAGGAATACAGAAGTTTCAAAGACGTATTTTATATATATATATATATTATATACATATATATATATATATATATATATGGTAGCCTGATTATTGGAGGTTTATCCAAAATTACTAATATTATTTGTGTTTTTTGTAATAGAAACTAAGTGAATGATATTTGAAAAAATATAAAGTAAAAAGCCACCCTTCAGTCTCAGAAGTTTTCAGATAGAAACATACTTCTTCTATACATATTTTCATTTATCATTTAATTAAAACAAAAGTATAAAATTTAGTAAGTCTTTGATTTAAATACAAAATGAGGTTTTATAAGATTTTAAATTTGTTTAGCATTAGGAAGTCCACGTCAAATATTAGATACCTGCATTGATTATGAATTCTTTCTGGATGGATACTAATGTATGGTGAAACTGTTTTATCAACGTATGAGCCAAATCCAAGGCGGAAGTCATGGGAGAAAAATGCCATTTTTCTAGATAAATCATTTCCAACTGAATTTAATTTTTCAATATTATTGTGCATTGATGCTGAGACATCAACCAGATAATAAAGATCCACAGGATATTTCTTCAGAGGATGAATTTTCAGCATAAAATTAGCTTCAGCTCCTAGTTCAGAGAAAGACAAACATAGTATAGTATTCATTTTAAACATCTCAGGTTAAGCTATCAATAAGCCAGTCACATTTTAGGTATAGAACAATTATCACAAATTTGTGCATAATGAATGAAATTGGGAATATTCCAGAATAATTTCAAGGCAGTTTGGAAACGGTACCATCCCAGACATACCAATGTCTTAGTCTCCAACTTCTACAGTGCATTTCTCGTAATTCTATAGGGCAGATAGAAATAATAACAAATAGACCAGCTCAACATAAATGTAATAGGTAATATATTTATCACCATATGAACCTGTATTTCTAGTGTCTAGTAAAGCACAGCACAAACAGCAAGCAGCATTCTATCATAAGAGAGAGTAGGTGTCTGTGCTTGTTTTCAGGTCGCATTTAGATATGAAGACAGCCAGAAAGGTATTCTAAGAAAATTTACCCCTTATTGGATGCAGGTATAGATTCATTCTTTTGGGTTAAGGTATATTTACATATGAGATGTGAAAACTCTGGTACTGAGAAGTACATTAAGCTATTCAAAATAATTCCTACCTCATCATGTTACTTGATTAGATTCTCCCCAACAGTTAGTTGTAAGAAGAAATGAGACAGTGGTCGAAGAATGATATGTAGCAGTGCCACATTGAGGACCAAGACAATGTAGGGGACAGCATTTGTCCAATGCATAATGGGTGCATGATAAACATATGTTGAAGAGGGATCACAGGGGCAAAGAAACTGGATGAGTAGAGAGGGTCACCATACGGAGAATTGTTGGAGCCTCCAAAAGACAACTGTCTTTGCAATACAGTTTTATTTAGTTTTCTGTCCATTATCAAGTGATACAAGGATTTGGTACCCTACAGAGTTAATACTTCTGTATTTAACTTTTTAAAGTACATGATGAAAAGTTATCAATTTAAATAGAAGAAGTTTCTGAATTTTACTTTTTTAAATAATAAAGCAAATGCTTATAAGTCATTAATTATTTGCACATGGGGAATATTTTGAGTGTAAAAAATTTTTTAATAAATACAAATTTGTATACATATTGGTAGCCTGATCTACTTATTAAAGGAATCTTACAATTTATCAAATCATATTTTCAGTCTTAATATCTTAAAAATAGCAATATTTTAAAACTTACTTCACAAATCAAATGTTCTTCAGCCAGATTATGGAATGTATTAAAAATAGTAAGGTTTTTTGGTTTGTAATATTAATTATGGGAGAAAGGGGCTATTTACTTATTCCTAATTTGCCTTTAAATGCAGGAAACTTCTTTATTATAACATTCTTGGATTTTCAGCCCAAGAGTTTGGGAGGCTCTGCTTTCCAAGTATCTGGTGAAAAATCCTGCCCATGTGGAAGTGTCCTGCAATTTGGGTAGAGAAGTTTAATTCAGAAGAATGATAGAATCTGGTAGATAGGGCTGGATCGATGAGAAATAGAAATGGACGTATTGGGGAGTGTGGTTCATGTGGAGGAGCTTGAATTTTAATGTGTGGGTCAGCATTTAATTTTTAATTTTTTTAAAGTTGTGTAGTTGTTTTTTAACTGTTGACTTGGACATATGGCTGAAGGCATTAGGAGCTGGCCACATGGTATTTTCATCTTGATGGATCATTATAGTTTATGGTGGCTCTGTCTAAAGATGAATGGCTGCCTATTTTTATAGAGTCATCGAAAAATGTACCAGATATTCAGCGTATTGTGTGAGTTGTTATATTATTGGTTGGTTATCTCAGCCAACAGGCAGAGTCTACAAAGCATCAGCAAAAGCACAGGCCTTGGAGGCCTGAGCTATTCAGGGAGCTCCAGTAAAATGCTAGCCACACAGGAGCCTTCAGCACAGGTCAGCTGCTCATAGCCTAGTGAGCGAATCCTAGTCTCACTGACCTCCGCAAAGAAGAGGGCTTTTAGGAAGCCTTGCCAGGCTTTTAGGAAGCCTGGCCAAATGGCCATGGTTAGAGGGTGCAGGCTGCTGTAGCTTGATTTTGATTACATAGGTGCTGGCGTTAGCACATGTACCTGGGTCAGTTGAAGACCTCAGCGTGGGCTGACACCTCAGTAAGACAAGTTTTCACTAAAGGAGAAAGGAGAATCTTTCTGTACACAGGCCTTTTACTCATCGCTGGAGAGAATGATAATCGCTACTTTTAAACTGCAAGGCACTTGAGTTTCCTAAAAGGTTCTAGCTTTAAGTAGTAAGCTTAAGGTGGGCAGCCCTACATAGGCTGACCCCAAACCCCACTCTGCTTGTTAAGGAGGAAGCTGAAGGGGCCAAGCTTAGATTACCATATTTTGCCCATGAGCCTGAGACACTCCCCACATTATGCTCTCAAGTTGGCTTTGGATTGGATAATTATATATGACGGAGAAACCTTCTCTTGGAGGCAGTAGAAATATCTTTTCATGGGAACATGGATACCATGTCCCTGGATAAAATCGCCATTCAGTTCCTACTGGGGTGCCACCAGCACTGGGCTCAAAGGGAAGATGACATTAAAGAGGTTTTGAATATATCGAATGATTAAGTAACACATCTAAAAATAAGACAATATCTGCGGCCATCACCACTGTGATATAAATTCCAGCAGCAATGTCTTAAATGCTACTCTGAGAGAAGGAGCTATGTGGGGGTGGATTCTTTTAGTGGGTAAGAGCTACTAAGTGCAGTGATCCATATAAAATATTTACCACAGTATTTGGTACACAGTAAATATATAGACATTAGTAATTATTACCATTAGTATTACTAGATTCTAACATTAGATCTGTTCTAATGTTAGAATAGATGATAGATAGAACTGTTCTATCTAACATTAGATAGAACAACATTAGGATAAGAACTGTTTATTTATCTCTGAAGCCTCTGGGCTTTGTACGTGCATAGCCACTCATAAATGTTCTTTAAACTATATTGGAAGAATATTTTGATACAGCATTTCAAAAGGCCCATATATATACCACAGTAAGAAGCTAATATTTATAACTTCTTTCCCATAGTTTAGGGAGATCTTAAATAGTTTCTCTCTATAAGAGGAAAAGAGTATCATCTGGCCCCAAAATATTTATGCCACCACTTACATTATCTCCAGGAAAGCTTCATCCTCATAATTTGAGATTCTAAAGGCTCAAGTCCTATTCCTTTGATTAACTTTAAAGGCAAGAAAAGAGTCTGTGACATAGAATAAGAAAGAGGACTTGGAGGAAAGTTGAGACCTACTTAGAGCTATTGCCAATATTGGTTTGAATAGACCAAAAAACTAAAGTTGTTCGAATGAGTTTTAAATCACTCAAATAATGGCATGAGCATCTCTGAAGAGCTGGCTACAACAAACATGACTGGATATTAAGAAAAGATAACTAAGAAATATTCTGCATAAGATGAAACTGAAAAACCATAAGAAAATATGGAGAACTGTAGCAGGAGGAAAGAGCTGCCAATTTCTATTCATTATCCTTGAGCAGGGGAAGGAGAAGGCCCAAGAATTAGACTAGTTTGAAACAGCAAGGTACAGATTCCAGCACATTTCTGGATTTCTGTGTGGGATAAAATGGGGGATATGTGCCAGGTGTTGAGGAGGAAAAATGCATGACTCTATATTTTTAGGTTTTTTGAAAAAAGTTTTGAATTCAAGAAGAATACCTGAAAAATCTTACATTTTAAATTAAGCTACACTAAAGAACTTTTTTTCTTTAAAATATTAAAATGAATCAAGTTTGAAACCTTTTCTCCAATTAGTGAAGTACAAATTATACTCATCCTTGTCATATACATTATATTACTTCTGAAACAGAAATCGAGAATTATCTTCTCTCACCTATCTTCCTAAAGATTTCATTTCATTTCACTGTTCTTAGGGGACATAAACTAGGATTAGTCGCCTATTTCTGTTATTATTTTTCCATAAAATTGATAGGTAAAATTTTAAAAAGTATAGTTTAAGAAGTGAAAAGTAAAAGAAAATATCTTTTTAAAATCTCATTTAAAATATTCAATTATATATATTATATACATATTTTATATAGCCCTAACATTCCTTTAAAAACTTAGTATATGATATAATGGAAATATTTTTATTTTTAAAAATAAAAACTTTTTAAAATCCTTAATAAATGCTACGTTGAAGGTCATGAATTTTTATCAGGTAAGAATAAAGTGGTTATCTATAAATAAAACTAATAAATCAAAATTAATATTAGGGAATAAATGTATTTTACACTTAGGTATTCATTATACCAGACCCTCAACTCTTATATATATATTAGGGTGCAAAGGACTTTACATTGTAAGGAATGAGGTTCCTATATATCTGGAGTTGGTAAAATACAGCTTTATATATTATGCCCCAAAGCTGGCACGTCTTTGATGCCACGATGCACTTTTAGATGAACTTATTAAATCTATTTTAATAATTATTTGCTATATATGCAGATTATAAAAATATAGTTCTGTCATAGCTATGTTGGAAAGATAACATACACATTAGACAGTAACTATTTTCACACAGAAATTCATGAGGATTGGGGAATTGACTAAAATCAAACCCTATAATGATTGACATAGACATTAAGCATTTGTGTTTTGATTCTCCTACTCCCATGATCTCATTCATACTACCTTCACTTACTACCTCATGTTGACATCTCCGGCTTCTCTATCTCCAACTCTGTCTCTCCCCAGAACTCCAGCCTCTAATGGGTAAGTCACTACCTTAATTCATGATGTCTGTTTGAACTCAGACTCACCCCCTCCACAAAGAGCAGCCTTCTGCACCTCACCTAGATGCTCGAGCCAGAGCCCAGGTGTTCCCATACTCATCAATCACCAATCCCTGGGGATGAAACCTCCGGATTATCTCTCAAGTCTGGCCATTTTTCTCCTGCCTTGTTACCATTACTGCCATTGCTTATCTACAGCACTGAAATAACTTCCCAAGTTTTGAACTGTTAATTTATAGTCTCAGGAGGATTCAGCCACCATTATGTCTACAGAAGAGAACAGACTAAATTCAAGTGTATAAATTTAAAAGTAACATACCAGTATAAAAAAATGCACCTTGTAATTTTCAAATCTCAAGTATTTAAAAAAGAGCAAGACATTTTTAAAGGCTATTAGTCATTTTTTTAGAGGTAAATAATATATGATAAGCCTCATCTGTAAGCTGTTGAAAATTAATATTCAATGAGAAAAATAAGCAAATTTGTATGGAGGGGCAAATCACACACAAAGTGGAGAGATAAAGATAATTAATAAGCTTAAGAAAAATATTCAAGCTTTCTAGTAATAGGAAAAAGACAAAAGAAAACAGCTAATAGACTAGTTACACTTAACAAATTGAAGAGATTAAAAAGAATGAGAATGGGTGAGGTTGACTCTTGAAAGCCTAACTGGACATGAATTTTTCTTGTGAATAATCTGGTAATACACATGACCTAGTAAATCTATTCCTAGGAATGTATCCTAAATAAATATGTTGTTATATATATGGAGAGATAGATAGATAGATATAGATAGATACATGTATAATGAGTATCACTGAAGATTTGTTTAAACAAACTGCATTTAAATTTGATTGGGACTGTCTTACATTTATTGATGCACTTAGATTTTGTTACATTACTAGAATATATTTATAGAAAACTGTTATTTTTATAATATTGTTTCCCTATTCAGGAACATAAAATTCTTCTGCATCTATTCATACTGTCTTTTACGTAGCACAATAGACTCTACATATTTTTTAGAAAGTTTATCACTAGGCAGTTTACATTTTAGGTTGCTGCTTTGAAATGATCCCTTTTTAAGTTATATTTAATACTATATAAGAAATTCATTGATTTTTGAATATTTAAAAAATTTCCTGCCATGGCCTTTTATTTTTAATTATAATAGTTAGTTGTCGTTGATTTGCCTGGATTTCCAGGTAGACATATAATGGTAATTTTGCTTTATCTTTTCAAAATGTTGATAACACGTACTCAGTTTTCTTGTCTGATTGCTTTTATGTAAAACTTTCAGAAGGATTTTAATACATATTAAAGAAGTAGTCTTTAATTTTGGTTTGGGCAGGAATGGATACTAAATTTTTTTGTATGATTTTTGGCATCTATTGAGATAACAATATATATTTTTCTTCTTTCGGCAAACTAAGATGATAAAAATACATTAATTTTAAGACAATCAGCTACCCTAGGTTAAATCTACTTGTATGGTGACATTGCTCTTATTATCACATGCAGTTTAATTTGATTTCTTAAAATGTTATTAGGGATTTGACACTAGAGTTATGATACGCTTGTAAAAATTGAGTAGCTTCTAAGCCTTCTCTAAAACCATGGAAGAGTTTATGTAGCATAGGGATAATGTGTTCCTTAAATGTTTAGGGGAACATGAAATCATTTCTCCCCATGAAAACCTTTAGACCTAATGTTTTTAGGGGGAGTTTCTTTTATAATTTTCTTAACTTCTTATATCTTTATTAGGTTTCTTAGGGGTTTCCCTCTTCTTGAGTCAATTTTAGTCATGTATATTTTCCTAGAAAATTATCTTTATTATTACGATTTATATATTTTACCACATTTAATGCATTTTACCATTTTTAATATTTTCTTAAAGTTTTCTTTTTACCCAATATTTGTTTCTCTGGTTATGGTCTTTATAATCAGGTCATTTGCTTTTTGTCCTTTTTTCTTAATTAGCTTTGCCAACAATTTGTCTATTTCATTGGGCTTTACAAATAACCAGATTTTGGATTTATACGTTCATTTTACTTTTTTATTTCTATTTTGCATTCCATTTTGTTTTTTTTCTTAACTTATGAATTTCTTCCTCTTGTTTTCCTTATGGTTATTTTGGTTTTGTTGTTTCTATACCTTTATCTGGATGCTTCATTCTTCTTTAATAATAAAAGCATTTAAAGTTTTGAATTATCCTGAGAGCAACTTTGAACACATACCATTATGTTATGATGTGTGTTGTTATTATTGTTATTATCAAATAGTCTATGACTAGAGTTTTGATTTATTCTTGGAGATAGAACTTATTTAGGAAAATCTTTTCTTTGTTTCTCTATTATTTAATATTTGTTTATCCTCTTGTATTGATTTTAAATTTTATTGCGAGGTGTTCAGAGATGTTGGCCTATAAAAACAGTTTCACTTTTTGGAGTTCAGTTTTCTTGTATAAAATATAATTAATTTCTAAAAATATTTCATAGCTTTTGAAAACATTATTTTATATATCAAGAATTATGGATTGAATTTTGCCCCCTCCCTGCCCGCCCCCAGCCAAATTTCTCTGTTGAAGCCCTAACTCACAATGTGATGGTGTTTGGAGATGGAGCCTTTGGGAGATGACTAGATATAGATGAGGTCCTGAGGGTGGGGTCCTCATGGTGGATTCAGTGCCCTTATACGTAGACAACAGAGAGCTCCTTTTCTGTCTGTCTGTCATTCTCTCTCCCTCTCCAGAAACCGAATCTGCCAGCACCTTGATCTTAGACTTCCTAGCTCCTAGAACTGTGAGAAAATACATTTCTGTTGTTTAAACCACATAGTGTGTGGTATTTTGCTATGGCAGCAATAGAAGGTGGCAAGTGTCATAATCTTACCAACCTAGTTACTTTAATTTTTGTGTATCCCTTTCCAGCTGTCACTCATTTATGTCCATACTGGGTTGTATAATTGTTGGATATGGTGAAGTGCACAGTTTTAATTGGAAGCTGGGAATATGCCTAGGGCCAAGAAAGAAATGGATTTCGTTATTTTGGTAATCCAAGAGTCTGGGAAAAATAGCTCAGCTTTGGAATTGGGAGGTCATATGTTGATAATGGTTATTCAAAAGTTTAATGACAGGACAAGACCACCCAAAATGAAATAATGATGGCTTGAAGGCAATAGCATACCACTTAAAACTAAATGTATCTAGTTGAGCGATGCATATCTTTGTACCTGAACTTATCTTGCCATATGTAGTTAGTTCATTGGGATTCTCTGGCACTGGAGAAAATGAATAATTTCCAGTGGCCTGCTACATGTGCAATACAGTGGTGTGGAAGGACAAGTATAAGAGAAGTATTGGAGGAAATGTGTATGTTACTCTCAGGGGCCAAATCAGCTCAAGTTAATTATGATAATTATGAATTATAGTTTTCTGTTACAAGCTTATCACACAGGCTCTAAGACTTAGCTTAATTCACATCTCTTACTAATTAATCAACTAACAAATTCAGCAAACACTTATGGAGTGCTTACTACATGCCAGCACTCTGTTAGGCATTGGAGAAACAGAGTGGGATAAAACATGTTCTCTTTCTTCCAGAGCTGGCAGTGGCATAGGAACACAATTACAGTACAATGTGATCAAGTTTTGAAACACATAATTATAATATAGTGTGGTCAGGTTTGCAGAGTGTCTGAGGCCACACAGCTAGCTATAGGCATAAGAAAGACTAGAATTCTGATTTCTTGATTCTGAGCCCACTCTTATTTCTACTGTAGCAATACTGCCTGCCATAAAATGTTAAATATGAGCAAATAAAGCTAGATATAATTTCAAATGAAGAATCATCATTGATTTATTTGAAAATAACCATACCTTGACGTAGCTGAATCAGCACTTCTCCTGGTGTCACCTGGGTATTGATTTCATTTTCACTTGGTGTTACATGCACAGATGGGTATTCTATCAAATCAATTGAGCAGCCTTTGTTTATTAAATTGGAAACAATATCACAACGTTCATTCTTTGATCCACCTGAAATGAAATCCTGTTTAAAAGAAGGAAAATCACTGATGTTTTTAGTGCATATCATCTCAGTTATAACCAAAGAAAACCACATAACAAACACTGCAAAGAAGCCACCTTCCAATATTGTACAAATTATACAACTGTTAAGAATAGCTGCATGTTTCCAAAAAGAATACTGGAAAATTTGTCTTAAATAAAGTTTTAATTTCTAAATGTTATTTTGAAAGAAGAAAATGAATATTAAAACGGAGATTTAAACTAAGTACTTTAAATATTGTTAACTGATCACTTTAAAATTATACCAACTTAATTCCTTCTAAATATTTTACTTTGGAAATACTGCTCCAAAAGAAAATTTAGCCAAAATAGACCATTCAGTGTGGTTCTACATGTAAGCTTCAGTTCTCAAAGAACCCAACTGGTATGTTTACTATATACTATTATGTTTGGAATGTGAGAGCAAGTCCTTAGAAATCACATGCCTAATTAGGTACTGAAAATTCATAAAAGAACGAATTGGAAACCTTTATTTCTTAAACTAAAAATTCCCCGACTTCTTATACACGTAACAGCCTGTAATTCAGTAAACCAAGGAAGATGCTCATAATGAGGCTGGGAGATATAAAAGTGCAGCTCAAATTCTCCTGATTTTGAACAGAATCTTGAACTTTCATTACCATTCAGCACTGGTTAGTTGATGGTAATCCAATAGCCATCCATTAAACTTGGAATTAATGGAGCAAGCTTAAAATATAATTTATCTTGACTGAGAAAGAGTTGATATTTTTATTTTTGAATGTAACCATTCAGGTTTTTTCCTAAGAACAGGAAATGTATTGAAAAGTATAGAAATATAGTTTATTATATATAATGTTGGCCTGAATTATTTGGGATATTTGCTTACATATTGGCTGGATATTTGCTTAGTGATCTTCCTGGATGTGGCTATTTTGATCTGGCATTCAGTCATTCCTCATCTAGTTTAATTGATTCAGAGAACTGGGTTTCTGATCAATTACTCATTCAATCAAAGAATGTTGACTGAATACTCAGGGACAGTAGTTTGTTAGGTGCTGAGGATACAGACTGGAACACAACGGATAGAGTCCCTGTTATCAGAGTCAACAGACCATCAGTGAATTCAGCCATTAAGCAAGTAAATGTAATTATCATAGGCATTAAATTTAGGGGAAGCACAGAATGTCATAGGGTTATGGAGAAAAGAGATTATATTCAAGTTTAATATTACTTGACTATGAGATCACTAATTATGAATAAGGAGATCCTTGGCACTGGTGAGGAATTAGATGGGATGGTGGTAGGCAATATAAAAACATTCATACAAAGATTTTAGTTTAATTCTTCTCTCAATTTAGAAAAAGGGTTGGAAAACTAGAGACAGTGGGACAAACACAGCTCATGGCTTATTTTTATATGGCTTGAGTGCTAAAAAATACTTGTTACATTTTTTAAATGCTGTAAAACAATAAAAACGGAGAAGAATGTACAACAGAGATAGTATGTGGCACAAAAAATTTTACTATGTGACCCTTTACAGTACTGATCCTGAATTAGAGTGTGGTGCACAGTTGTAATATAAATATAATTAAAAGACAAAAGAGAGGGCTTCCCTGGTGGCACGGTGGTTGAGAATCCACCTGCCAATGCAGGGGACACAGGTTCGAGCCCTGGTTGGGGAAGATCCCACATGCTGCGGAGCAACTAAGCCCGTGCCCCACGACTACTGAGCCTGCGCTCTAGATCCCGGGAGCCACAACTACTGAGCCCATGTGCCACAACTACTGAAGTCCGCGTGCCTAGAGCCCGTGCTCCGCAAGAGAAGCCACTGCAGTGAGAAGGCAGCGCACTGCAATGAAGAGTAGCCCCCACTCGCCACAACTAGAGAAAAGCCCACACACAGCAACAAAGACCCAACACAGCCAAAAAATCAATAAATAAATAAATAAATAAATTTGTTTTAAAAAAAGACAAGAGAGAATATGTTCTTTTCAGTCAAGATCTCCAGGTGTCATTGGTGAATGACTTCATGGGAATAGAAGAATTCGATTTGCCTTGCTATTGACCTTGCTTGCTGAAGTTTAAAATGTTTAAAGCCTTAATTTCTCATTTCCAAGTTTATCCTATCTGTTGTTAAAACTTAGAGGTTCTGAATGTGAGATTTAGTTTTTAAACAACTTGGAGCTCCTCAGAGAAAGGTGGCATGTACTGCTAGATATAAGGGGCTGGATGGGGGATCTCAGCTGTCCCAGAGCCTGGGGAATACGGAGGGTGCATAAGGCTTGGTACATGTATGCTCATTCATGCCTCCCATGAAGGCCACAGACCAAGGGCCACATGCGTTTTAACTTAATTAATTTAAGTAAAAACTGCAAGCCTTCAAATCAGGAAAGGAAATAAAGTACAAATAACTCTGATTTTTCTTTTCAGCCGGAAATTTTGTTATTTGTATATACAGAATGAAAAAGAGGGGAGGGTGGTTAATTCACTGCAACTATACATCAAGCTATGCCATTTGACCTTTAAATGTCAAATCATTTTGCTGAAATAGGCAAAAAAATATCATTTGTTTTGCAGTGTCTGAATCAGCATGGCTGTTTTTACTCTACTGTAAAAACTAAGTTAGAAAAACATTGCCAATTTGACAATTAGGTTTGAAAAGGGAAGAAAAGATCGTGGCATCAAAATAAAGAATGGAATGCTGCCCCTACCCACTGTGGCCTACTTTCCACTCTGTATAAAAGAAAAGAATTTGAAACCACACCCTTTTAACTTTTGGTGTTTTGTGTCATTTTAATGTCTTCTAATTCTTATATTTTACTTTTTCTACAAGAAATACTCAAGCAAACTTATACTCCAGCTGTCTAAAACCTATTTGAGAATGAAAAGCCCAGGTTAGAAAGTTACCCTGGTTGGCTTCTCATCAGTTGTTACTTTCATCCATTTAATGTAATAGTCTGGAGATATAAATAGGAAGAGGTTTTTCTCCTACTCGTTTCTGAGTCTTTCTAACCTCCAAGCATGGCAATCTGCACAGAAATGAAAGAATTCCTTCATCTTCCTTTTTGACAGAGAATGCCCTTTGTATTGTATTTCAGTTTAATTATGCTCCGAGGCTGCCCTGTAAACTTCTGGCTATGTAATCACAACCTGTATCTGACATATCAGGCAGAAGAGGAAGAGAAGTCTTCAAAACTTTCACATACGTTAAGTCATCTTTTTTTTCACATATGTTATGTCCAGTCTTTCACATATGTTAAAATGAATATGAGGCATTGAACTAGGTAATATTGATACAATTTTGTCTATCCTAAATATTTTCCAGTTCCTTTTATGTAGCATGGAGAGAAAGAGAAGTCAAAATATACAGAATGGCAGATTGACATGCCACACAAGAATGCAGACAAATTGATTATACTCTGTGTAAATTTTCTAGTGAACTTTTACTTTTGACCAGCTTTGAGAATTATACAAACCAGGCTTAAGTTGGTCATGTTTATCTTTTCTAATAATGAACAGAGAAAAAAATGCCTCTTTCTTTCTTGTCCCTCTACTCTTGCTGGCTGAGAAATAAAATCATCAGTTGCATATGTGACTAAATGGTGGGCAATCTTTCAAAATTAATCATTGCATTTTTCCTTTCAGTGGTGTCAGGTCAGCATGTAGGGAGTGGACAGCTCCTTCTGTTAATGATATGGCCAGTGACTGAGTGCTAACATGGGTTGCTTCCCCTGACGTTGTATTCTTAACACAGGCAATTTTCTTAGTTCCCTAAGTCTGAATGAATTGCTCTAGAGTCTCACCATAGTTCTTATAGTAACTTAAGCAATGCCTGTGTGCTAAATGCCTTCCACATACAGTTTCATTTAAACTTCACAACAGTGTGTCATAGTTACAGTTATTATTTCCATTTTAGAGCTAGGGAAAACTGAGGCTCAGAGTGGGTAGGTTAACATGGCCAAGTTTACATAGCTGGAAATGGATGGCACTGGGATTTGAATCCAAGTTGATCGCATTTCAGAGCCTGCTTTGTCAACACATAAATTAGACTACCCTGCACCACATAGAAGAATATTTTGGGATATGAACAGCCAAGTCATTTCTGGATGTTTTCTGAGATCCCCTTCTGAGGATTGGACCAACAGCAGACACCTCTGGAAGCCACCCTACGTTTCCTCCTTGGCTTACCTCCTTCCATTTGACCACCCATTCCTCTGAATACACAAAATCCCTCCTCCGTGGCAGGACTGACATTGCTACTCCCATAACTGTGACTCTCCAGACTTTTCATGCCAGTAGAGGTGTGAGATGGAGAAGGGTGCTTTCTGGAAACTGACATTCTATATGGCTGGCATGTTGCATTTAGCTGGTAACTGGGTTTCTGAACCATCTTTTGAAAATCCCTCTAAACTATAGTCACTAAAGTTCTCAGGAGCTGAAGTTAAGTTGGCACAGTCTTCACAACTCTAATGATCTTCCTTGGTCATGCAGTAGAGATCTAAAACGGAGTGTTGGGTGAGGGTCAGGAAATATCAACATATCAACAAATGTAAAACATACCTGACAAGGAAAAACTGGAAGTAAACTTCAAACTCAAGGTTATAGAAATGCGGAAAGGGAGGCTCAGAGAAAAGAGTGAATTCTGTCTGGTCATTTGGATCATAGGAGGGAATGAGATTGGTCCTGGAAACTGTGGAATTGTCCTCTCTATGACATTGCCTGGCTCCATGGGTTCTGGCAAAGCACTGCCTAGTTTTGAGTGACATCTGATTTTCTGACCGATAAAGCCCAGAGTACGTCCAGGAAGCCTTTGGGCTGTCAGTAGGAGGGCTGCTTACTTCCAGAAGACATGGCTACTGTTTCATGATCCCCTCCCCTGACTTGTTGCATAGAAGAAAGTAATGTCCATCATCCTTTGCTACTTTTCATATTTCTGTTTCCTCTTGGGGGATGTATAAAAGGACAAGTAATAACAGGAGAGATTGGAAAGCTAATGGTAGATACAGTTTTTTCATCTAAATCAGAGGCTGCAAAAGCTAGAGATTTCTCTTCATGTCAAGCAAAAGGCCATTAAAGGTCTGTTTGTTTCACTTCTCAGGGACTACATAAATAATTGTAAAGTTACCTAAGTAATCTCATTAAAAAAAACCCCAATTAGCAGTTGGCTTCCTCATTGAAACTTATTATATAAGGTAGTTTTGATTGAAGATTACCAACAAAAGAAAAAACTCAATACAAGTTTAGAGCCAAGAAGGAAGGAACACATTATAATCGTTTTACTAAAAAGTTTGTTATTAGGATATGTTTCTCTTTATTTGACTATAAAAACACAAATTTTGAAGAATAAACATTTTCTGGTTATTCTCCATGTAACAGAATTTAATGTACACAATATTGCATGAATAGGGTTGCATGTCAAAGAAAAGCATCCCATTTTGCATAAGTAGCCAGTGAACTGATGTACAGTGTTATGAAATGGAGCAAATCACTTATCTCCAAGTATTTCAAATAAAAACAAATGAGATGGAACAATAAATTAGCTTGCTTTTCTTTAATAAGCAAGCACAAGACAACGATCCAACTTGGATATATAACCTAATGCCCCAAGCTGCAGCAAGAATTTCGCACAAAGCCTACTGACCTATCAAAAGTTACTATCCGTGTTTGCCAATTCTCTCTATAGAACAGATGGAAAACATAAAATGGTTTGCACTTCATTTCAAAATTACCATAATTTTCCTAATAAAAAGGTTATACTTATATTCAGCCAGATATGCTGTTTCCAAGCATGAAACCAAAGAAAATTTTCCTGATGCTCAGCAGTATCTTTCTTTTTCATGATGCATCTTCAAGGCACAGAATATTAGGTCAGTGAAATCATGCTAGAAAGAAGGTCAACTTTAAGGAAAAGAGAAAAGAGCAAAAAAGGAAAGAAAGAAAAAGGCACACCTCTTGAGCACACCATCCACATTCCGGACCCAGCGCAAGGCACTTGGTGCAGGACACTGCATTCGAAGATGCACATCTATTGTCTTCTGTAATGGAGGATAAAATGAGGCATTACGGTTTACTCTGATATTGGGAAGTATGTGCAATTCTAGACCAAAATGTATTTTGAAAACTGACATAAGCTGACCCATAGTTTTAAGTACATGACATCAAAAAATATATAATTTCTTTGGGAATTGTTAACCTGATCACTGCAATTAATATGTACCGTATTTTCTGGATAGCTATCATCTGGTTTTATAAAATTAGGGAAAAGAAGGTGATAAAAATATGACTTTAGGTTTTGGGGTTTCATTTGAAATTCTGTTGCAATGGCAGAGGATCCTCCAAATTTTTTAGTGTGCTAAAGTTTCATTGTAGTTCATATTATCTGAACCAATGAGGTGTTTTTGGATCTAGAATTTTTCTGTAAAAATAATCATATACAGACCTCAATCTCAACGTGTAAATCCATATTGAGTCACAGTGAATGAAGTTTCTGAGAAACGTTCTTGATGGACATACACAGTAGTTAACTTGGTAATTCTGACTGCATTAATATTGATTATTTTGGCATGAAGGATATCAGAACCAGACAAAATGGCAATGATTCAGTATTTTAGAAGTAAAGTGGTTAAAATGAATGGGTTGTTTTAGTTAACCTAATTTAGTTTCTCTGACTGGACCACTTTAAGATTATGACCAATTCACTTTTCCATAGCTACTCACACTTGTCTGTTATGTGTTAATAACATAGTTGTGCCTGGATACTATTTACCTTTATCCTTCTAGCCACTGTCTACTTAGATCATTAAAAAGAGGCTCATATTACAGACTTAAACACATAAAATATAATGAAGAGAGAGTCAAATTATTTTATCATGAGCTTTTAGTGGAACAATCACATGCTTCCCATACTCCATCCTTTACAATGAAATGTCCCAAGGACATGGGAAATCACAGCATTCTACCCATCTCACATGCACACAGTAAATAACATAGACATCCTGGCTTTAAGTAGTTCACAGCCCAGGTGAGGTGAAAACTGTATAAGAAAACAATAAAATACAGGGTGATAAGCATAACAAAATATCACCAATGCACTATGGGAATATGGTGAGGATCTTCTCACTCTACTTAGAGGGAAGGGCAGGGGTCAGAGAAGAGGGCATGTTTACAGATGGCTCCCCAGAGGCAGTGATACCTGGTATGTCTCTTTGCCCTCTCATTTTGTTTCTTCTCATTTGTGTTCATCTCTTTTTAAAAAATGTAATAGGCATGAAAGAAGACTGTGTGTGTGCCCAATCACACATGTATATCGGAGTTTGAAAGGGGATAGAGTCTACAAAATCTCTAGCTATCCCCGTCTAATTGGTTTCTCTTTTCCTTCTCTCTCAACTTGCCCCAACATTCTTGAAGACAGGGTTAAAACGGTTCTGACCTGGAGGTGGCATGGGATGGGTGTTGGCAGTGAAGAGAGAGAGAGGAATACAGAGAAGTAAACATAGCAGAGAGGTGCATTGGGATATTGGGAAGTATGTGCAATTCTAGACCAAAATGTATTTTGAAAACTGAAATAACTGGGGTGGTAGTGAGCACTCTTCCCTGTATTTCCCCAGACACCAATGAGTTAAGCTAAAAGCATTCTTCCCTAGCATCTCATTGTTCTATTAGCCATCTCTTCTGTCCCCTTCATCCTTTGTCCTTGGCTTTACATCAGCTTTTAAAATACACCATCCAAAACATCTTCCCTGATCTAGATGCACTGCACTGGGCTAGAATTTTCTTCACTGGCCTAGAATTCCAAGGACTAAAAAAATAACTAATGTTTGGGCTCTCTTTACTACAGTGTGGTCACCAACTATGAAGACTCCATAACCTAAAAATCTTCCATCTGGCTTATCCTCCAAAACTGTAAAACCTGCTTATTACTAAAGTATTCAGAAGAGGAGTGACCTTTTTAGTTTCGTTCTCAGAAAGCAAATCAGTTTAGGTGTAGAAGTCAAGCACATTTGCAGACCTAACTTGACCTTTACCAACTCTTAAGCTTGACCCAGCTGGAAAATGGAATTAAGTCTATTTCAGATCAGAGTTGACCAAGCCTTTCACTGAATAGGTAGGACTTTTGCTGTGGCAGTTAAGACTGCAGTCTCCTAGAAGGGAAGCTGCAGATTCTATGACTTTGGTCTTTGTTTCTAATGGTTGTCTGACTCTGTCTTAAGTTAACCTGGTTCAAGTTCAAGTCAGGCTCCTACGTCTATAGCACATGTAGTAAATAATGAATTTATAAGCAAACATCTGTTCTCTCTGAATCTTTTTTTTTAATTAATTAATTAATTTTCAGCTGTGTTGGGTCTTCGTTGCTGCATGTGCGCTTTCTTTAGTTGTGTTGCAGTGCGCGGGCTTCTCATTGCAGCTGTTTCTCTTGTTGTGGAGCACGGGCTCTAAGCACATGGGCTTCAGTAGTTGTGGCACGCGGGCTCAGTAGTTGTGTCACGTGGGCTCTAGAGCGCAGGCTCAGTAGCTGTGGTGCACAGGATTAGTTGCTCCACGGCATGTGGGAACTTTCCTGACCAGGGCTTGAACCCGTGTCCCCTGCATTGGAAGGCGGATTCTTAACCACTGCGCCACCAGGGAAGCCCTGTTCTCTCTGAATTTTGCTTTCTGTTTTCTTTTAAAAGTTGTAGTGCCAACCTCCATTCTCAAACTTCAGACACCTAAGGATGATGACCAAGGGACACAGAGACTTTGGTTCTGTTAATACTCCCCTGGTTCCAAGGCTGACATTTCTCAGTCTATTTAACTACAGGAAAAATGATCCTCTTTAGATGATATGTTTATTAATATTATTTTGAGGATGTTTAATCTACAGAAGTGAAAGAAAGAAGAAAATGGACCAGGAAAAAAATAACCTAAAGACAGTAGAAATTTCAACGTTTAGCTTGGGATCTTTCCATAAGTCACGTGATCAGATCAAGTGAAAGTTCTAGGAAACATTTCTGATGTTTTTATGGTCTAAAGTCTACACCACAAAATTTCAACAAAATTTAAAGGATGTCCATAGTTATCTGGAAGAATGAACCGAAAACTGATAAAGATTATCGTCCGTGGTATTTAGAATCAATCATTCTAGATCCTCCTGTTACTCCTAGACAGAATGATTTGTAAAAAACGCAGAAATGCATTTTTTCCAGACAGCATCCTCTTCCTAATTGCATTTACGATACAAATTAAATTAAACTTGGATAATTATATAAAAGTGCTTCCTTTAAAAAAAACACAAAATAAACACTGTTATAATGGATATGTATTCTACTTTGATAACAGTCAAAACCAGGCAAATTGAGTACATGTAGAATAAAGTTTGGAGTATAACTTCAGGGTTTCCTTGTTCTAGGTGTATATCATAGTCATGTAAATGTTACAGATATCTTCAAAATACATTACCTGATTACTGAAAGTTCTTGCATACACGACATTTAATGTGTTATCATTTGATATAAAAGTTAAAACAAAGAAATAGATTCGTGTTTTAATCACTTGTAATTATCTACTTATTCCAAGTTTTGACTGAGGAACTGTTTTGTAAAGGCCCCTACAAAAATATAGGGAGGGAGGAGGTGGTTTAGGTCTCCTTCTTTGAAAATCAGACACAGGAAACAGAACCAAAGTCACAGTTAAATTTCAATAGGGATTAAGTAAAGGGGCAAGGGAGAAAAGGTGGAAGCATGGGAAGCTCTTTGGAAAAGATGGATCTGAGTAGGGAAACTTGGAAGAGCTTAGAAATGTATTACAAGGTTGGTTCAGTGGGTTGTGTAGGCTTCCTGGTGGAGGGGACTAGTGCCTGTGTTCTGGTGGATGAGGCTGGATCTTGTCTCTCTGGTGAGCAGGATCACATCAGGTGGTGTGTTTTGGGGTGTCTGTGGCCTTATTATGATTTTAGGCAGCCTCTCTGCTAATGGGTGGGGTTGTGTTCCTGTCTTGCTAGTTGTTTGGCATAGGGTGTCCAGCACTGTAGCTTGCTGGTCGTTGAGTGAAGCTGGGTCTTGGTGTTGAGATGGAGATGTCTGGGAGGTTTTTGCCATTTGATATTACGTGGAGCTGGGAGGTCTCTTGTGGACCAGTGTCCTGAACTTGGCTCTCCCACCTCAGAGGCACAGCCCTCATGCCTGGCTGGAGCACCAAGAGCCTTTCATCCACACAGCTCAGAATAAAAGGGAGAAAAAATAGAAAGAGGATAAAATAAAATAAACTTATTAAATAAAAAATTATTAAGAAAAAAAAATTTTTTTAAGTAAAAAAAAAAAAGAAAACTGGACGGACAGAACCCTAGGAAAAATGGTGAAAGCAAAGCTATACAGACAAAATCTCACACAGAAGCATACACATACACACTCGCAAAAAGAGGGAAAGGGGAAAAAATAATATATCTTGCTCCCAAAGTCCACCTGCCCAGAGATAAACCCACGCACATATGGTCACCTTATGTTTGATAAAGGAGGCAAGAATATACAGTGGAGAAAAGACAGCCTCTTCAATAAGTGGTGCTGGGAAAACTGGACAGATACATGTAAAAGTATGAAATTAGAACACTCCCTAACACCATACATAAAAATAAACTCAAAATGGATTAAATACCTAAATGTAAGGCCAGAAACTATCAAACTCTTAGAGGAAAACATAGGCAGAACACTCTATGACATCAATCACAGCAAGATCCTTTTTGACCCACCTCCTAGAGAAATGGAAATAAAAACAAAAATAAACAAATGGGACCTAATGAAACTTCAAAGCTTTTGCACAGCAAAGGAAACCATAAACAAGACCAAAAGACAACCGTCAGAATGGGAGAAAATATTTGCAAATGAAGCAACTGACAAAGGATTAATCTCCAAGATTTACAAGGCAGCTCATGCAGCTCAATAACAAAAAAAGAAACAACCCAGTCCAAAAATGGGCAGAAGACCTAAGTAGACATTTCTCCAAAGAAGATATACAGACTGCCAACAAACACATGAAAGAATGCTCAACATCATTAATCATTAGA